AGCCGCCCAGGGAGGTGCTCCTTGGCAGCGGGGGGCAGGGGGTCTTGACCATCCTGAGCTAGCCCCTACCCATCTCCCTGCCTCTGTGCAGCTCTGCACCCCCAAAGTGCCACCTGGCCACAGGAAGGGGCCTCCCTCTAGGCCTCAGAACAGCCAGAGCCCCACCTGCCCCTCCAGAGGCCATTGTGCCAACCCGGCCTCACGCAGAGAAGTCCACCTCTCAACCTGCAGAGCACCAGGTGCTTCTTTGCATGGAGACTCCGGGGAGGTGAGGCCAGGTGGGCACCCGTCGCCGAGCCTCTCCGGGTGCCATGCCAGGGAACCAGCTCCACTCTGACGGGGGAGGCAGGGTCCCTGCTCCTGGGCATTGCCAGTGTGACGAGAGGTCCCCGTGCGACAGGGGCAACCCAGCTCTCGCCTTGGAGCACTCTCGGACCAGCGGCATCGCTCCTGCCCGCAGGGCACTCTGTTTAAGCAGGAAAAGCAGCCCATGCCCCAGAAAGGCTGTTCGAAAGGCTGAGTTCCACTGGCTGCCCGTGGGGACCTCCCGATCTGAGAGGAGAGACACAGTTCCGGCCAGAACATGGGGAAAACGCTCTTTGCTGGACGGTGCGTCTCATCTGCAGGCAGAGACACCATCGCTGCCCTCAGGTGTCCCCTCTGACCTGGCAGAGAGGCCACAGGTCCCGTGAAGGACTGAGGCACAGACATGACTGTTACTGATGTGAACACACAGATGTCAGCCCAAACCCATTAAGCTGAGTCCTGGGAGAGCCCCACCCAGCAGAGTACAAAGAGCTGTGTGACCTCGGGCAAGTCACCTAACCTCTCTGAGCCTCACATCCGGTGGATGTGGGGATGAGAGGAGGTAAAGGTATAGGGAGTCAGTGTTACCCAGTAAGGGCGCAATAGGCAATAACTGGTTATTACGGGGAGGGGAGAGGGGGGTTGCATGTGTGCATCTGTGCCAGCATGTGCAGGGGCAGGCGCAGGTGGGCCCCTCCTCAGTCCTTGGTGGGTGATGGATGGCTTCCAGTGGGACAGGCCAAGGCCAGCCTGGAAGGGACCATTGTCTGGCAAATGAGGTTTGGCTTCCCCGCAGGGGCAGTCCCATCTGCTTTTATTGTTTCCACAGCAGCCTCAGGAATTCCTACCCCCCACAAAGCCTCAAAAAAATTTGTGTAAGGGTATTGTCTTTTTTGGGGGGGGGGGGCGGGATGCTCCTCTCTCCCAATATCCCTCCCCCCCCCCACCTCCGGTGACAGAGTCCTACCTCCTGGCTACAGGTGCTCCTCCCACTCTTCTCCTCAGCAACCCTCCCACCCCCTACTCCCCAAACTTCATGATCTCGGTGTCCAGACAATTTAACACGACTTGCTATTTGGTCAACTCATCACTTAATCAAGTGACAAAAATGCCTGCTCTTGGCTCTGGAGGAGCCAGTGTGGAGTGGAAAGACACCTGGAATCAGACAGCCTGGCTATGAATCTGGCTCCAGCACTGAATAGCTGTGTGACCCTGGGCAAGTCAGTTAACCTCTCTGGGCTTCAGTCCCACATCTGAAAGATGAGTGTGTCTGTTTGGGTGTCATGTATTGGGCATTTACTAAGCTAGGCCTAGAGCTTTATATGCACAATCTAGTTTAGCCCTCTGAGTGGACACTATTGTTCAGGTATTAATAGCGACAATGGCTCAACATCCGGACAGAGATTTGGGGGATTTGCCCAAAGTTACTCAGTAGAGTAAGTGGTGGGGCTGGGATTTGAACCCATCTGACTCCAAAGGCAGGGTCTTGACCAGTCATGCTACATTCAGTGACTGATACCGGTGCAGTTCCATGACCCTCAGGCATGACACATTCTGGGGACCTTAACCCAGAGCCTCGCACAGAGAGAACCCCTTAGAAAGTGTGGGTTCTACAATTTGTTCATCCCAGCTGCTGTGGGTCAGGCAGGGACTTCATCCCTCATGACCCCACATCCATCCAGGGATGTGTCCAGGTGATCAATGCCAGGCCTTGCTGTTGTGGGGGGGTGGGGGGTGGGGTAGTGGGGTGGGTGGCTGCCAAAGCTGGGACCTGGTGGGAGGGGGGACAGGGCCTCTAGTGGTCAGTCTTCCCACCCTCTCGAGTCCTTCCTGGGGAAGTCTATGCTTCGTTGGCCACAGAGGCCCACTCGAGAGGAAGGACTAGGGTGGGACAAGCAGAGGGCCTGGAGCAGCAAGAGAGGCAGGTCTCAACTGTACGGCTCAGAACCGGGGGGCTCACAGGACACCCCACTTGGGAATATGCCCAGGGCCCCTCTCTGCTTCTGCTGTTCCCAGGCGGTGGAGTCAGGGAGGCCGGGACGCAGACCCCAGCTCTGCCCCAGTTCTGGCTGAGACAAGTGAGGGAACGCCTCTGGGTCACACAGCTGCTAAGCAATCCGCTGGGACAACCAACTCCACTGGACCTAGGCAGTCACTTCCCTGTCAGGTCCGTTTCTTCCGCTCCCTCACCTTCCAGGGGGATGCAGGTCTGCCGTGAACCACAGGGATTTTCCACACAGTTTTCCCTCCCCCCCCCGCTCCGCCCACAACCTCCCCAGCCACTCTTGTTCCAGGACCAACCCTGCCCCTGGCCTGGTCAGCAGGACCCAGTTGCACCCAGGGATGACCTGTGGCCCGCAATCTCCAGTTCATTACTGTCTCCTTGACCAAGGATTCCATTCCACAGAACAAGTGTGTGCAGAGCACCTACTGTGGGTCAGGCCTTGGGACCACAGGTGGAATGGGACCCCGCCCCACCCAGGGAAATGAGGACCAAAAGAGACGGGGAGGCAAAGGGGAGCAGGAGGGCTTCCCCCAGGAGGGGACATCGGGCCTGGGCCTGCAGGATGGGTAGCCGTCAACTGAGCACAGGGCAGGGCAGACATTTCACATGGAGGCAAGGCTCCAGCAAGGGCCCAGGGAAGTCGGGGCATGGAGACGATTAGCCCTTCATCGTGGCTGAACCCCCAGGAGTGGATGGTGTGTGGTGGGAGGCAGGCAGTTAATTTAGTGGCAACAGGGAGCCGTGGAGGGGCTTAGGGCTGGGGAGAGGGGTGGGTTGAACGGTGAGGAAGGCAGAGAAAGTGCCGTAATTTTCACGTGGACGAGGGGCAAGGAGGCTGTAAGCAAGGTTCCTAGAAGGCACAGGGACTACTGTGGCCCAAGAAGGCGGGGGACAGAGATGGTGCCAGAGTTGGGCCTGTCTGCCAGGCAGGACCATGAGCGGAGGCTGAATGGGTGTGAGTGTCCCCCCAGTCCCATCCGTGCCTCTCTAAACAGAAAGGCTCAGGGTGCCAGCCCTGGCTGTGGCTGAAAACAAAAACTCAGCCAGGAGAGCCCAGAACTTGCCGGCTGGGAGAAGGCTTCCCTCTTCCGACGTTGTCCTTATTCAGCCACTCAGCCCACATCCTAGTGGCCCCCTGGGGTGGTGCGTCACCCGTGATGATGGCACAGATGATGGCCAGAGGGTCTGGGCGACTGCACAGCAGGTCCAGGGGCCTGCGTGACGATCCCCCAGTGGAAAGTAAATGGCCCGTGAGCTAATGCCACGGAAAAAGCAATCAGTGCAGGACAGAGCCTGAGAACTGGGGATGAGTCACCGGGATGCCTCCTGATCAGTGGCCAGCTGCTGATCTCATTTTGAAAGCAGAACTCCTTTTCGCCCTGATGTTTTAACTCTGATTTGAGGACAAACAGCGGAAGAGAGAAGTGTCTGTGAGAAGGCACATGCCCGCAGGGGTGGGCAGGTGGGTGGTGTGACAGTGATGCGCAAGGGGGCTTAGTCAGCTTTCTCTGCAGTGTCTCTAACCTTGAATTTTTGATCCGTTTCCCCCTTTCTGTGGAGGCCCCCCTCCCAACCCCACCCAGGGGCTGTATACTCCCTCAGCGCCTCTGAGTGTGCCCTGCGCTGGTATCCCGCATGCTTTTTTCACGGACTCCACACACATCCTTATAGTAGGAGCTACAATTCTTCTCGTTTTATGAAAGGGGCACTGAGACTCAGAGAAGTGCGTTCCTTTGTCCAAGTCGCTCCCAGAACATGTCTGCCTGACCCCAGAGCGGCGGAACTAAACCAGCACCTGGGCACTTCCTCGCGTCCCAGCCACCAGACTGGGAGGTGGGCAGCGTGGAGGAGTGCGCTGGGCCGCAGAGACCAGATGGAGGCGAAGCTGAGGGGGCATCTAGGGGAGGACGCAAGACTTGGCGGGAAACCCAACAGCCCTCTCGCCTCAACCCGTGGTGTCCGCCCGCGGGAGGCTGAGACCCCACCCAGCGCGCAGGAGGACAGCAGCCCGCGGTGGGGAGCGAGCGGGGTTGCACCGTCGGGGTGATAGAGCGCAGTCCTGGTCCATGCCGAAAGGGAAAACGCGGGCCTAACGCGAGGCTGGCGGGGCGCACCCAGAGTTCGCTCTCCCTGCAACACCTCTCGGCCCCCTGGGCAGCCTCGAAAGGGGCAGGAGGGCACACCTGGCAGCTCCATCCAGAGCTCAGGGAGTCTTTGAAGCTTCCTGGAACGGTGGTGAACTGGGGTCCCCGGACTGAGAGACCCTCACCCCCGGCCCCGCCGGAGACTCAGAGACAGAGAGACAAAGAGAGACCGGGTCCCGGAAGAAGAAGGCGAGTGCCGAGGAGGAGAGGGAGCCAGAGCCGAGACCAGGAGAGGGCGGCGAGGGCGCGCGCGAGGCGAGTGTCAGGTGGAAAAGTGAGTGTCCGGCGGAGGGTGGGTGAGCCAGGGGCCGGGAGCAGAGCCAGGAGGCGAGGGGAGACGCGGCGAGGAGGGAGGAGGCGGACGGACGGACCGACGGGTCCCAGGGCCAGGAGGCAGGGAAGAGAGCAGCCTCCTCGCCTCCAGCCTAAGTCCTGGGCGCACCCTGTCCCAGAGCGCGCCAGGTAGCCCACCTTTGTCGCCGCGCACAGCCAGGTGAGGTGGGAGGGCGGGGCGGGGGCGGGCCAAGGCCAAGGCCAAGCCTTACCTGGACGGCCGGGGAGGCGGGGGCCGAGGGACGCCGGGCCGAGAGCCTGCGGGAGCCGATCGCAGCCGAGGGCCGAACCGCGCAGCGGGGACGGCGCGGAGAGGTGCGCGGGCGGCAGGATGTGCCCCGGCTGCGCGGGGGCTGGAGGGAAGGGGGCGGGGGCGAGGGGCGGACGGGAGGGGAGGGGCGGGAGCGCGGGGAGGGGGCGGGGAAAGGGCGGTGGGAGCCGGCTCCCAGGCCCCCAGCGAAGGGGCAGCCCCGGGCCGGGCCGGGCCCGCGCGCTCCCGGCGGCGCGCCCTCGCCAGCTGCGCTCGGCGTTCGGGGCCCGCTCCCCAGAGGCCTAGCCGCCGCCGCGAGGGCGCGGGGCAGACAAAGGAGGCAGACAAAGGCGGGCGCAGCCGGGCGGCGCTGCCGGCACCGGGCGAGGCGGGCCCACTCCTCCCGGTGCGTAAGAGCCGCCTCGGCGCGGCCCGGGGCGCGTGGGACGGGCGGGGCGCGGGCAGCGGTGGCGCATCTGGAGCGGCCCCGCCGGGAGCGGGCAACAAAGGGCCACGGCGGGGGGTCCCTGGCGGACCCCAACAATGGATCGGGGCTGAGCGCTCAGCTGCTGCCGCGTCTGGCCCAGTAGGGGCCGGCCGGTCCCCAAAAGGATTATTCCGCCTAGGCTGTCAAATGGGACAGAAGAAATGCCGGTGGCGAGGGAGGCGGGACCCGGCACCGCGGGGCCTTTGTACCCTCCGAAAGTACGCGAAGTGGGGGGCGGGGTTCTAGGAGAGCTCGCTCTTGGATGTAAGGGTTTGGGGTCTTCAAAGCTCTACCTGGTGAGATTCCCGGGTGCTGGCGACCGCACCAATGCTCACCCCCCACCTCCCCACCCCCGCCCTCCGCTCCCCGGGAAAGGAAACAAGACAATCCTTCCACCCAAGCATCACACACACACACACACACACACACACACACACACGGTCCGGCTCTCGCCACGCCCTGTCCAAAGTCTGTCTGATGCTCCCCAGCCCGGCTCTGCCTGGACAAAGCCAGCGCTCGAGACTGGCTCATCCATCACCGCGCGGGGCGCCACGTCCTGCCGACCCTGGGAGTCCGGGAATGCTGTGTGATGGGTCCCGCGGCCCCCATAACTCACGGCGGGGTCAGCGGGGCCGCGGGCGCTGCAAAGATCAAAGAGCGGTGGGGCGGGACCGCCGCGCACGCGGAAAGCCGCAGTCTCGCCTGGCGCCCAGAGCTCAACCGTGGCTTCCATTTCAACTGTTTTGTTTTTTGTTTTCTTTCTTGAGAGTATGGCACATTATGGCTCAGCGGCTTAAGAGCTGTGCTCAGGAGGCAGGCCGGATGTCTGGGCTCCTCTTCCGATGCCATTCCCGTCTCCTTGGGCAAATCGCTCAACCCCTCTGAGCTCATTATCATCTCTAACTCTCGGGGTTCAAGGATTAAGGGCAAGGTCCTGGCTTCATAGGAAATGCTCTAGAACAATCAACTGCTGTTGTTATTGTCATAGTTTCAGCCTGATGGGCGGATTGGTGAAAGGGCTAGGCTGCTTATTCACTGGAGGGTTTGAATCCCTTATCTCTCAATGCCTATTGAACACCCGCTATGTGCCAGCTCTGTCCCGGGCACTGGGGCTACAGTAATGAACAACATGAACCAGACTCCCTGCTCTCATGGAGCTGACATTCTAGTGAAGGAGACAGATGAGAAGCAAGTGAACAAATATCTGTATCATATGCCAGATGGTAATTAGTGCTATAAAAAAAGCAGCATAAGTAGAGAAAACATGAAAGGGAAGAGTTATTTTACATAAGGTTTTGAGGAAAGGCCTCTTTGGTAAGGCAGTTTTTTTAGCAAAGAAAATGAGGTAACGAGCCGTGAGGAGGAGAGTGATGCAAGCAGGAGGAAGAAACAGTGCAAAGGTCCTGAGGCAGGAGAGTGCTTGGTGTTTGAGAAAGAACAGCAAGGCTGGGGCACAGAGAGATGATGTCAAAGATGGAGAGGATCCTGGGAGCATGCAAAGGCCACAGTAAGGACGCTGACTTTTAGTCTGAGTGCGATGGGAGCCGCTGGAGGGTTATGAGCAAAGCAGTGACGTGGCCCGACTTGGGTTTTAACAGCGACTCCCTCTGGTTCCTAAAATCGAGAAAAGACTGTAGTGGGGCAGGGAGAAAAGCAGGGAGACCAGTTAGGAGCTGGGCAGAGAAGAGGTGATGGTGGCTTGGGCCCGGGAGGGGACAGAGGCCATGATTCTCCTTTTCAAGGCTGAACTGTGGCCGGGCATTTATCGAACCAGCAGCGGATTACGAGATACTCCGGTCTGAAGGCTGCTGCTGTGAACCAGCAGGGAATCTGTTGCCCCGCTTAGACCCTCTGCTCCTTATGTTCCCCCAGGGCAATGCCGTGGGAAAAGGTGGATGTTAGGGGAGGTCTGGGCTCCTGTCCCATCCAGGTTATGGTGACTCTCGGCCTCTGTTTCGCCATCTGTAAAATGTGGTAGTTGAATGGCCAAAGTGGAAACAACTCAAATATCCATCAACTGATGAACTGATCAACCAAATGTGGTATATTCACCCAATGGACTGTTATTTGGCCATAAAGAGGAGTGAAGGCCCAGAACACACCACATCTGGATGAATCTTGACAACATTATGCTAAGGCATAAAAGCCAGACATACGAGGCAGGATATTGCATGATTGAGTTTATATGAAATGTTCAGAAGAGGCAAGTCCATAGAGACAGAAAGTAGACTAGTGGTTGCCAGGGCTGGGAGGAGGGAGACTGGGAAGTGACTGGATTTGGCCAGGCACTGGGTGAGGTGCTGAACTAAAAGAATGAATGAGGCGGGGTCTCTGCTTAGGGGTTGTTCCAACTGGCTGCTAACGTGTGTGGAATTTTTTTCTTTTTGGAGTGATGAAAATGTTCTGGAATTAGACAGTAGTGATTGATGCACAACTTTGTGACTCTACTAAAAATCACAGGATTGCACACTTTAAAAGGGCGTGGCCTGTGCACCAAAGGGTCTCGGGTTCGATTCTGACCAAGGGCACCTACCTGGGTTGCAGGTTCATTCTGGCCCCTGTGGGGCATGAGCAGGAGGCAACCAATCGATGTGTCTCTTTCACATTGGTGTTTCTCTCCCTCTCTCTTTCTTTCCCTCCCTCCTTTTCACTCTCTGAAAAGCAATGAAAAGAAAATCCTCAGATGAGGATTCACAAACAAGAAAAAAAGGGTGGTGGTGGTGAACCTTACGGTTTGTGAATTGTGTGCTAATAAAGCAGTTATTTTTAAAAAGTGGCAGTTGAGCTAGCTCAGGGTTTTTACCCTGTGGTTCAGGATGACTTCCGGGGGCCTGGACACGCCTAACATTGTGGAAGGCATTTAGTGTCTCTGCGCACTTGGGCAGAGGTTCAGATTTTAAGAAGAGATGATCTTTAAGTCTTCCTGACCAACAAGGGGTCAAGGACACTGGGGAGTCAGCTGACCCCTGGGAAGGGATGGCCAGTTGAACTCTGTCTTGGCTGGAGTGTGTGTGTGTGTGTGTGGGGGGGGCAGTGTTACTGGCCTAAGTCGGGGCTTTGGGTCTGCAGTGGGCAGTGGATCCCAGGGTCTGGGGCAGCTGCACAGGTCAGGCCTCACCCCAGAAGCCCAGCCGAGGGAGGAGAGGAGCTGTCTGTCTGCCGCAGTCCCTTGGATAGGCATCTTGGGCCATGATGATGCATGTCCTTCCTTAGGCACCTTGAAGGCTGCCTGGTGCTTTGGGACATGAAAACAAGGCAGGAGGGACACTTAAGGATGCTTTGGATGGGGTTTTGAAAAGCATGATGGCTGGTCCGGAGTGTTCGCTCTAGGGGCTTAGGTACTGTGTGTCGATTTTAATATCGTTGTCATAACAGCCATTGATTGAGCATTTATGTGCCAGGCATTGCACACTCTGTATTTTTACAAACGTTATTTCATTTACTCCCGTCCAACTCTATGGACTTGTTCCTACTACTATCCCAGTTTACAGATGAGGAAACTGAGGTTGAGAGAGAGAAGCTGTGTCAGCAGCGGTGGTGGGAGAGAAACAGCAGGTTGGATACACGAGCAGCGGGTGCGTGTGGGGGCACCGCGGTGAGCATTCCACATCCGTTGCTTCTTTTCGAAAGCAGCTCTTCTCTGCACACCACGCCAAAGCACTGAAGTCAAAGGTCTTTGCTCCTCGTCCAGACTGTTAGGATTTGAGTCAGGTAAGTGGCAATGAGCCACTGTCTGCCATTGTTTCGTTCCTCCATTCTTTCATTCACTCATTGAACACACATACATGGAGAGCCTGGATTTGGCCAGGCACTGGGTGAGGTGCTGAACTAAAAGAATGAATGAGGCCGGGTCTCTGCTTAAGGGTTGTTCCAACTGGCTGGTCCCTGAGCATTGGGTGGGACTGTCACCAGGCTGTATGTGGCTGACTCTGTGACTCCCCCACCTCCCTGTGTTTGGTGTCCTGGGAACCTTAGGCAGGGGTTGGATCCATGATTTCGCCTGTGATCAGCCTGGTGTGTATGGGAGGGACTTTGAAAGCATCTTAGCGGTCTGGACACTGTTGTCAGTTGCTTTTCCCAGTTCACTCATTGGTGCTTGCTCGGTGAACCCCAGGAACCCTCATTTGCCCATGCAGGCCTTAGTCTGTGCAAGGCCTTTCTTTGCAAAGACTTTGTTGCATCTTGCCTTCTCTTAGTTTCCATTTAAATGTCCCCTGGGAGTGATTTTCTCTCTGTCCCCATTGTACACCCTCAGGGACCTGCTCCAGTTGGCAAATAAGCTCTCCCTCCTCCTAAACATCCATCCTTCCCTCCCAGACACCCTCCTACATATTGTCCTTATGGAGAAAAATATGCAAATAACTTTGAAAAACAGTCTCCCAGCAACCGGGTATTCAGAAATGTAATACATTAACCCCATCATGTAATCTGGGTCCTTCGACCATCCATCATGCTGATGAGATTAAGATATGAAAAACCAGATGCTGCAGAGCCCTGTGCATGGAAATGACAGATGAGTTTGCATAGAGCTCCCCTCCAGCCCCCGGTCCCTGCCCCAGCCCCAGCTTCTGGGTCCTCATGGAACCCAAGGCCATTAGAGGTTTAG